CTTAGTGGACAGTGAAAAACAATACTTGAAACTAAAACCGTATAAAACACACAAAAAAAGAACTACATATTTTACACAGATGCAGCATGGAAGAAAGAATCTGATATATGTGGTCTCGGATGGTGGTTTGAAGATGGTGGTTTGAAGATTCAAACGGAAACGGAAGAGAGGAGTTTTATGTGCCATTACCTAATGTCAATTCGGCTCTTGCTGCGGAAACTTGGGCCATAATTATGGCATTGCAAAAGACTCGAGAACGAGGAGTGGACTCCTTAAACGTATGCTCCGATTCACATGTTTTAATTAACCTACTCATCTCAAAGGATTCGCATACGGAGATCCATAACCTCATTTTCGAGATTAGGCTTTTAGCTACGCATTTTCGTTTCCAAAAATTTATTTTTGTTCCACGAGAAGCCAATATGTTGGTTGATTCGTTAGGTAAGACCGTAAAAGAATCTTTGATACTTTTATTTGGTCGACGGTTTCGACTTAATCAATAAAATTTATCATTTGTGACCAAAAAAAAAAGAACTACATATTTTATGTGCTAATCAGATAACCTTTTGATGATTTCCATTGTTTACTTCATCAAAAAATAGTTTACGAGAGAAGAGAGGAACTGAAGAAGTAATGATGTTGTGAGAGATCAGTAGAAGATAATCAAAGTTGTCAAAATATTGTATATAAGGTATAATTTAATTTCATAATTGTCATATTCAAGCCATACCAATACCACAGCCGAAATTAGTACTTTTAAAATCAAATATATTTGTGGTACAATAATTAAGGGAAAAAGAAGAGACAAAAAAACAAGTTTCTTGCCACATTTAATATGTCGTTATTAATTGGCCTATAAGAAAGATGGGCCTGGCTCAACATTATGTGGTACGATAAATAACAAGTAGAAGTCACCAACACAGCCCACACATTTGATATATTTTTTTGTAGCACCTTGAAGATCAATAGAGAAAAAAATTGATGCCTTAAAATCAAAATTTCATATAATTGTTACGTCTGATATTTAAATTCGAATCCAGTCCATAAAGATAGAGCT